TATATATATATATATATATATATATATATATATATATCTTGAAAAATGAATGAATGAATGTAATGTCTTAAGTCTAAAAGAAAGCAAAAGTAGCAATAGCTTCTCAATAGGGTTACTGGAGGTTGAAAGGAAAATTCCTGTGAATAGATTAACAATTTTAAAAGTAAATATGGGAAGATGAACATTGCTATCAAGAGAAAACTAGAAACCTAAAAGAAAATGGACCAAGAAAGGAAGGACATTATGTAAAGGAATAAAGAAGGAGCAGTTTTCCCTCCCAACACAGCGCACATGTATGAGCAACATACAAAATCAAATACATGTTAATTGGGGCACCTGGGTGACAAGTACAGAGAGTAAAAAAGGGAGATGCATTTATGTACCAAGCATTGTTGTAAGCATGCTAGCATATTTTATTTAAGTGTTTTGTTAGGGTTTTATTCATTCATTAGCAAATTATTGGGCATTTACTATGTGCCAGGCACAGTGCCGGGTGCTGGAGATACAACAGTGGCAAAACAGCAATACAAAAGTGCAACCCTTTGGGATTTCCAGTCTAGTGGAGGAGTTAGATCATCAGTATGTTAAAAAAATATACCAATTGCTAAAAATCAAATTGTAGTAAGTGTTATTACGAGAAAAACAGATCATGTGAATGAGGATTAAGAGATGAGAGGAGGGAAGATCTTTCAACATATCATATGGCAGTCAGCAAAGGACTCTGAGAAGGTGATGTGGAAGCTGAGGTCTGAAGGATAATTAAGATCCAGGCAAGAAAAGAGCCAGTAGAAGGCTGTCCCAAGAAAATGGAAGAGCAGAGGCAAAGGCTGCAAGATGAGAAAGTAGACAATACAACTGAAAAAAGCCCACATGACAAGGCAGGAGGATGCTTGGTGAGGGAAGACTAGCACGAAAGTGATGGGGGAGAGAGGCAGGGCCAGACCACTCAGAGCTTTGAGAGTCCTGGTAATTCATTCAGAACTGTTCTTTGAGAACAAAGGCTACTAACTGCTTTTAAAGGAGCTCTGGTGATATAGTACCTAAGACATTTGATTGCTAACCAGAAGACTGGCAGTTCAAACCCACCAGCCACTCCACAGAAGGAAGACCGGGCAATCTACTTTTGTAAAGATTTACCGCCTCAGAAACCCAGACTGTTTGCTTTTAAGCAAGGAGGTGATTTGATTCAATTTTTTAAAAACTGCTGCTATGTGGGAAATGGACTGTAGCAGAGCAAGAATAGAAGCAAGGAAGCCAGTGGGAGAACAACTGGTCCAGACAAGCAACATCAGAGGCTTGAACTGGGGCAGTGGGAGTGGAACAGAAAGAAGGAACAAGTGTAAGAGATGCATGTGAGGTAGACTCGACAGGACACACTAATAGACTGGATATAGGAGATGAGGGAAAGAGATTCATGACCAGAATCCAGGCATAAGATCTAGTGGTTTTCCCTTGTCTAGGGTTCCCTTACACCTAGGCAGACCTGTCCCTGTTCAGCCTGTATTGTTGGAATTTCCACTTTTGGAACTGAGTCAGAACCAAACCAGTCTCCACAAGGTTAGACATGGGGAACATTCTGGGGTGGGCTATTCATTCTGAAGTATGTAGCATACTGGCTCTCAAAACATGCGTTGTTGTTGTTATTATGTGCCGTCGAGTTGGACCCGACTCATAGCGACCCCTCCTTGGGTTTCCAAGGTGGTATCACTACGGAAGTAGATTATCCAACCTTCCTTCTGAGGAGTGGCTGGTGGGTTTGAACCACCAGCCTTCTGCTTAGTGGTCAAGTCTCTTATGCACTACACTACCAGAGACAGACTAAATGAAGAAGGAAAGGGCTGGCTACCATAAAATACAGAAATAGCCTCCATTATTTTTTAATGCCATAAATGAAAAAATAGAATAAGAACAAGAAGTAGATTTGAAAAATAATTTAAGAAGAAAATCCAGTAGGAAGCAGAAAGCAGTTTCACGTATACAATTTTCAAATGGTTCTGGGCAGTGTGTGTGCAGGCAACAAGTATATACATGGAGAGAAGGAGGGAAAGAGAAAGAGCACAAATAGGACAAAGGGTACATGAAAGGGTACATGGGTGTTTTAGTACCATCCTTGCAAATTTTCTGTACATTTGATCTGATTTCCAAGTAAAAAGTAAACCAAACAGCATGCATCCATAAAGCTTATCAGTCTACAGAAGAACTAGATGGTGCCCGGCTACCACTGTCATCCACTTGGAAGGGATGTAGGAGATCCTGCATAGGGAGGGAGAACAATGTGGAACAAAACTCAAAATCATTTGGAGGCAAAAAAAAAAAAGAAGGTGGGGACCAGGTTTGCTGGTCCAATAGAGCCTGGTGGAACCACTAAGACTATGGCCCCTAGCTGCCCTGCAGGTCTGGAATTGAAGCCACACCCATGGTTTCCAGCTAAACAAAGTACAGGCATGTGAATTAAACATTTACCTCAAGTAGACACACGCCCTGGAGAGAACAATCATGGGAGAAGGAAGGGCTGCTTATGCACAGGGAGACAGCTCAGGGCGCAGAAGAGTATGGAGGGATGGACACTGGGAAGAGGTAACTATGGGGAGGAAGTGGGAGGGGAGCTGTTGCATTGTAAATTTTGGTCAATGACATGAGACAAAGTATATGTGAACTGCTGTATGAAAAGTGAATTTACTCTGTAAATCTTCACCCAAATCAAAAAAAAATAAAAAAATAAAAAAAGACACAATAGCAAGAAAATAATAAAAAAAAAAAAAAAAACCTATTGTCCTTGAATCAAATCCAATTCATGGCAATCCCACATGTTACAAAATAGAACTAAGCTCCACAGTGTTATCTTGGCTGTAATCTTTTTACAGAAGCAGGTCATCAGGTCTTTCTTCTCTGGCACCACTGACTAAGTCCAAACCTCCAACCTTTAGGTTAGTAAAACCAAACTAAACTCACTGCCATTGAGTCGATTCCAACTCACAGCAACCCCCTTGGTGTTTCTGAGACGGTAAATCTTTATGGAAATAGATTGCCCAGTCTTCCTTCTGCGGGCTGGTGGGTTTGAACTGCCAACCTTCTGGTCAAATGCTTTAGGCACTAAACCACCAGAGCTCAAACCATTTATACCACCTAGAGACCTTTAGTAGCAAGAAAGGGAAATGGGAAATTCCAGTGCCCAAAATTAGGTTTCGTGCTGAACAAGCACAAGCCTGAGTCTTGAAGCCCTGACTCACCGCTGGTCATCAGCACTGTTTGCCTCCTAATGCCCCAGGAGACCTAGCCAGACCAGCCACAACTCAACATCCATTAGCCCAAGACACTAGTGCCCAGATGGAATCAAGACCAGCAGGAACCCAGAGGGCAGAATAAAACCAAAGTCTTCTCTCCTCCAGCTCCAGGAAAGCATGCAAGTGTCCCTCTACCAGTAGATACCAGCCTAAAAGAGAAGGAGAGCAAAGAAGATCCCTTGAGAGGGCAGCCAAGCCCACTGCCATCGAGTGGATTCCAACTCATAGCACCCCTACAGGACAGTGTATAACTGCCCCAAAGGTTCCCAAGGTTGTATATCTTTATGAAAGCAAACTGCTTCCTCTTTCTCCCATGGAACACCTGGTGGGTTTGAAAAGCCAATCTTTTTGTTAGCAGCCAAATGCTTTAACCCCTGCACTACCACAGCTCCTTTGAGAAGGCAGAGCCAACCCTTAAAAGGCAGTTTGAGCTTGAAATTAACTGAATATTTGCACAAAAAGAACTACAATAAGCCAGAAAATTCTGAGTTACCTTGAAGTGGCAAATTTAATATCCCCCTCACTCTAAAATCAAACTGACATCCACTGAAATATGTTGGAAAAATTTAGGCAAATTACACATTTTGCACATTTATAAATATTGATTGCTCCCACTATAAAAGTGCTCACTAACTATGATTTCAACTGGAAAATGAATGAGTATGTATGGAGGGGTGTGTGTGTGTGTGTGTGTGTGTGTATGTGCACGCATGTGCAAACACATACAAAGAAAAAAGCATGGAGTAAAATATACCAAAATCTTAATAGGAATGGGATATAATTTTTCACTTTCACCTTTATACTGAGAGGGAAATTTGAATTACTTTTATAATCAGGCAAAATTAAATCAGTAGAGATATTTTCCTTTTGGAGAGAAAGAAGGATATCTCACCAGAGAACAAGGCAGAGTCAGACCATATGCCATCATAAAGATTATCCAGTTAAAAATGTCAGCCTAAAATGCAGCAGGAGAAATACCTTACTGATGGCTATTTGTTAGGTATGTTGAATGCATTTCCATACATATCTGTCTTCATCAAATACAAACCCAAAGCTTCTAATTTTCTTTACAATGATTCTCTGAGCTTGCTATCCTGGCTCTACACATAGCATATATTTGATAAATGAATCTGCCCAGCATTGCTTAACTTTTTCTAAAATATATAACTATACTTAAAAGTTACTCTCTAAAATCTTGAATTGTTCATTGTTTAAACACTCTGACTTAGTCAGGCATATATACCTCCACCCACCCAAATGAGTACACCTGGCAGATGAACAAAGCCTGCTTCATCTTACTTTTGCTTTTTCTTATAAATGTCCTAAACTTTCCCCTTCTGCATCTTTTATTTTCCTCCCAAAAGATAGATGTTCATCTAACAATATCTCCATTTCTAAAAAATACAGGCTGATAAGGGGCCTATGGAGAAGAAGGAGCTCCAGGCCCAGAGCCGAGGGGACCAAGGTCTTAGGGATCATGAAATAATATAACATAGATATCCCATCCCCAAACTGACTCCCAAAATTCCATCCCACATACAGACACAAAATCATATTACTTATTTGCAAATCTCCACATTGTACAAGAGCCATTATTCCTTACTCAAACAATTAAATTGAGAGCAAATAATTCTTTTTGGAAAAAGAGAACTTGCATTCCTCTTACTCGTCTTGAACCTTTTTGAGTTGATTACGGGTTGAGCCCAACTCAGAGTCTAACTGTAGGTCCTGATCCCGAAAAAGAGAATTTCTTTCCCTATCAAATGTGTCCTGGAATAAAACACAAATAAAAAAAAAAAAATGGTTTGAATACATGAAAACAGTATACATGAATTACAAAACATTATGCTGAACAAAATAAGCCAGGCACAAAGAAGCACATAGTGTCTCGTTCCATTTACCTGATGGTCTGTCTAGTTCAGGCAGAGGAGCTCTGGTGGTGTAACACCTAAGGCATTAGTCAAATGCCTCCACTGCAGTGAGTTTTGGTTTTTGGTTTTTAGTTCAGGCAGATTAGCCTACAGTGATGAAAGTCATCCCCTGGGGACGGAGAGGGTGACTGAGAAGTGGCACAGGGGAATGATATGGAGTAACAGAAATGTCTTCCATCCTGATAAGGGTATGAGTTGCACACACACACACAGAAAAAAAAACAAACTCAACTGCTATCGAGTTAGTTTCAACTCATAGTGACCCCTCCTTGGGTTTCCGAAGCGGTATCTCTACGGAAGTAGATTACTCAGTCTTCCTTCCAAGGAGTGGCTGGTGGGCTTGAACCATCAGCCTCCTGGTTAGCAGTCAAATGACTTAGGCACTAGACCAACAGAGCTCCTTGTGAGTTGCACGGATATATATTTATCAAAGCCCATCAATGTGTGGATTTTACTGTATACAAATTTAGTGTAATGCAAACTACACACACACACACACACACACACTTTGAGATACCATCTTATATGTCTTTACCCAGAATAACACCTGTGGTAGTTAAGGTTGTTCACAACTTGGCTGGGCCTGGTTGAGTGGCTGGGCAGCTAGATATAGTTATTTCCCATGGTGAGACTGGCAATCAGTTCCATGACGGAATCTACTGGAGCAGCTGAGTAGCTGCTTTAGGGATGTGGTCTGCTTCCAGTATATAAGAAGCAGCTTTGGAAGGTCTCCAGCTTTTTGGCATGCTTGAACCCTTCATGTAGCCCAGTCATTGTTAAGCAGCCTGTCATGCCCTGCCAATCTTGGCACTTTTTCTGGAATTGAATCAGTGGCCTGCCACGCTGTTTGGTGATGTCAGGACTGTGCCTTTTCACTTGTCAACCTTGAGTTTGTCAGCCTCAGTAGCCAGCAGCTGCTGGAGTGAAGAAAAGCCTCTAGCTTCAGTGAGCCAGAAGCAAGAGGCGAGCTGAAGCCCAAGGTAGAGGGGCTTTCATCCAGCCCCTAGAGCCTGGCACCTTGAACTCAAACTTGTAGCCTTCCAAACTATAAGAGAATAAACTGTTTGTAAGCCATCCCATTTGTGGTAATTCTGTTAGAGCCACACTAGGTAACCAAGGGGATGATCTAGAGTAATAGAAATGTTTTCTATCTTGCAAGGGTGTGAGTTGCACGGACCATATACATTTATCAAAGGTCATCAATGTGTGGATTTCACCATATGCAAATTTAGTGTAATGCAAACTACACACACACACACTTTGAGATATCATCTCACGTGTCTTTATCCAAAATAACAATTATGGGGATAAAAATCTGAGAAGCACATGAAATCTTCAAGAAAACACAGCGCTCAATATTGACTGACATCTATTGAATACTTTCCTAATGTTCTAGGTCCTATGCAAGTTGTTTCCAGTGCTTATCACATTTAATTCTCACAAGGACCCTTTTAGGTCAGTAAAACCATTGTCCCTATTGAGCATATGAGGAAACTGAGACATAAAAGGTTAGTTAATTTACCCAGGGCCATAGAAGAGAGACTGGAATTCTGCTGCAATCTCTAAGCAGGAACCCTTCAGTCACTATTCACATAATTTGTGTATCCATATAAATGTTTAAAAGAATACTAGGATGTCTGCCTTGAGAGGTGTGTTATTTTAAAGAATTACCTATGTGAGATCAAACTTGAAAAGGTAGATGAAAAATTTAGGGGACAGTGAGTCTAAGTTAATGGCAGTGTACAATTTAGAGAGGGATGGCGAGAATGGTTGCAAAACTTGAGGTCACTGAGTTGGACATGTTGAAATGGTTCATGGAAGTGTATAATTTCTCCAAAATAAATAAAAATTGTGTGTATGTGTGTGTGTGTGTGTAAGATTACTAATGTCAATGACTTCAGAAAGTGTGTGTTCTCTTTCTAGTCTGGGCTTCAACTATTGAAAAACTGACATTGTGCAACTGTTGTTAGGTGCCGTCAAGTCAGCTCTGACTCATAGGGGACCTTATGTACAACAGAATGAAATACTGCCTGGTCCTGTGCCAGCCTCACAATACTTGCTATACCTGAGCTCATTGTTACAGCCACTGTCTCAATCCATCTCATTGAGGGCCTTCCCCTTATTTTGTTGACCCTCCACTTTACCAAGCATGACATCCTTCTCCAGGGAATGGTCCTTTCTGACAACATGCCAAAAGTAGGTCAAACAAAGTCTGGCCATTCTCGCTTCCGAGGAGCATTCTGGCTGCACTTCGTCCAGAACAGATTTCTTAGTTCTTTTGGCAGTCCATGGTACTTTCAGCATTCTTTGCCAACACCACAACTCAAAATCAACAACTCTTCTTTGATCTTCCTTATCCATTGTCCAGCTCTCACAAGCATATGAGGCAATTGAAAATACCATGGCTTGGGTTAGGTTCACCTTAGTCTTCAAAGAGATATCTTTGCTCTTCATCACTTGAAAGAGGTCTTTTGCAGCAGATTTGCCCAGTGCAATACATCATCTAATGTCTTGACTACTGCTTCCACTGGTGTTCATTGTGGAACCAAGTAATATGAAATCTTTGACAACTTCAATCTTTTCTCCATTTATCATGAAACCACCAATATCAACCTCCAGACATGACACTGCATGTCAAAGGCTGTTAATGAGATTTCTTCCAATCCTGATGCCATATTCTTCTTCATATAGCCCAATTTCATGGCTTGTTTGTTCAACATACTGACTGAATAAGTAAGGTGAAAAAGATACAACATTCTTGCATGCCCTTCCTGTATCCCTAATTGTCTGGTGACTAATTTGTCACTTAAAAGTTACTATTTAGTGTCCTGTGTGGGCCAAGCAGTCCTGAGATGTAGATCACTACCAATTTCCATTTTACAGCTGAGGAAGTAGAGGCTCACTGATTTGCCTGAAGTCGTGCCGCTAGTAAGTTGGCAAAGATGAGATATGAATGCAGCTCTGTCTTAAGAGCAAACACAACCCACCATATAAATGCTGCTTTCTACAGAAACTTACCTTTTGTATCTATGTCCCAATTCCCTAACTAGAGTTGAGTCACCAATAGTTAGAAACCATACCTTAGATATTTTTAGTTCCCAGAACTCGGTCAGGATGCTGAAAGCCAACCTATCATACCTGTAGAGAGGGGACTGTGCCATCAACAGGCTTTCCCATGGAAGCAGCAGTAAAGGAAGCCTCTAGCCAAGGCAAAAGTCGTGATTTGATTATTTCCACTCCAGCATAATGTCCTCCTAAAAGAATACATAAATCAAGTCAGCAAGAGAAATCCAACCACACCAACTGAGCCACGGAGTACAGAGGCTAAAAGAAAAGAAACAAAAGAAGGAAGAGAGCTGAACAGAAAGCACAGGCCATTCTCACCCTCCTTGGCTGCTGTACTGAGGATTCCAAAGAGTTGTCCCTGCAGCTTGGCAACTTGCTCAATGAGTTCAAGGCAAATATTTAGATTTTGGTCACATGAGTTTGTCTGAAAAACCAAAACCGTAGACATTAGGACAACTCCTTCATTCTGTGACCCAATGTAGGCAGATAAGGGGCTAACAAGGACTGACTGGCTCTAGTATGCCCCCAGTGGCAGATATTGCAACATGTTGAACAAAAATCATGTCCCTTTCCTCCTGGGCACAGTGGTAGACTACTTACCCTACATCCTAGTAGTTTGTGTGGTCATGTAACAGTTCAGGTCAATGAGATGGGAAGTGATGGGGCCTAGAAGAAAACCTCTTGAGAGAATGTTTCTCTTTCTCTGTCCCCATCTGCCTGCTGAATTCAAACCATAAAACCAAACCCACTGCCATCAAGTCAATTCCAACTCATAGCAACACCCATTGAGTTTCCAAGGCTGTAAATCTTTATGGAAGTAGATTGCCTCATTCTCCTCCCACTGAGCAGTTGGTGGGTTTGAACCACCAACCTTCTGGTTAGCGGCCAAATGCCTTACATATTACATCACCAGAACTCCTTTTGGTGTATTATAAACCACTCCCCAAAAAAAACCTCACTGCCATCAAGTCAGTTCCAACTCACAGTGACCCCCACTGCGTTTCTGGGGCAATTAATCTTTATAGAAGTAGATATTAGTATATTATAGGTACTGATTGCTGAACAAATGAATGAATGCAAAGGATCTAACAAAGATCCCAAGAACATAAGGGATGATGGTGCCACAAGATTTGGAAGGCTGCACAATAAACACTTGCATTAAACTGTTACATGGTTAAGAAATAAAGTGTGGGTTTTTGTGTGTGCATGTTAAGCCACTGGTATTTGGGGGTTGTTATAGCAACAATATAACAACAACAACATAGTAACAAGGAGCTCTGGTGGCACTGTGGTTAAAGCATTGTGCTACTTTCCAAAAGGTCAGTGGTTCAAACCCACCAGCTGCTCCACAGTAGAAAGATGAGGCGACTGCTTCCATAAACATTGAGAGCCTCAGAAAACCTATGGAACAGTTCTACTCTGTCCTATAGGGCTATGAGTCAAATCAACTCCATGGCGGTGGGTTTGGTTTGGTTTTATAACAACCCTGACTCCCCTACTCAGTGGAATTCTGCAAGTAATGTTTTTTTTTTTTTTTTAATTGAATAGACTTTTTGTAATACAATATCAAAAAGAGAAAACAGCTGTCATCAAAGCCAACTGCAACTCCATGTGTTCACAGTAGAACTGCACTCCATGAAGTTTTCATGGCTGGGACCTTTCGGAAGCAGATCACCGGACCTATCTTCTGAAGAGCCTCCGGGTGGGTTCAAATTGCCAACCATTTCGCTAATAGTCAAGCATAATCATTTGCACCACCCCAGGACTCTGTAAGGCAATACACTGGCTCCTAATTTATCTGTTATATTAGTTCTCATCCCTTATATAAGTTCAATGTTTGCATTACACTTGCATAAAGAATACTACAAGAATAGTAATAAGGCATTACTGGATTGAGGATACAATGGAGAATAAGACAAAAAAAAAAAAAGTCAGGGCTTAGGACTTTATGGAATATTCAGACTAGTGAGGAAAACAGGTAAGCAGACTGTTAACCTGCTGTGAAATAATAAGTCCTATGATACAGATAACTATAAGGTCTACTCAAGAGTCCATACTCTTGGAAAGTCAGGGACAGCTTCTTTTCTAACTGAAAGAAACTAGGCATACTTAGGGAAAGGGGCGGTTCAAATTGTTATGGAACATCTAAGCACTGAGAACAGAATGTGTAGAAGTCAAGAGGCAGACCATTTTGCCATTATTTTGCTTTGGTCCTCCCTAATCGATTCCACGGAGCTCTGTTAGCCTAGTGCCTAAGACATTTGACTGCTAACCAGAAAGTTGGCGGTTGAAACCCACCAGCCACTCCTCGGAAAGAAGATGGGGTAATCTACTTCCGTAGTGATCCTGCCTCAGAAACCCAAGAAGGGGTCTCTATGAGTCGGGTTGACAACAACAATTGATTCCAACAGTAAAAGAAGGAATCCAACAATAAGCAACAAAGAAATCACGTAGGGAGAAAAATGCACATATTTGTGTATCACCTTGAGTCATGATAAGGTACTACAGATCCTGGAACAGGAAGCTGGGTAAAAGGAAAGAAAGTAGAATGAAGAAAAATAGGTTGGGAGACCTCCAAGTGAAAGTTTACAAGTAAAATACATATATGTATCAGGATGGGAAATGGCTCAGACAGAAAGTACACTCCTTGAGGACAGGACTGTCCTGCTCACTACTATACTCCCAGCCTTATATTATATAGTTTGCATGTATACAAAAACCTCAATTTGTATTGGATGAATAAACAAAAATGAGATGATTCATTTACTTGGTCTTTATTACATACCTACTATGCTCTAAGTACTGTTAGTGCTTCACATAAATGACCTCATTTAATCCTCATTTATTATTATTATGTTGTTGTTGTTGTTAGGTGCCATTGAGTCATCTCCGACTCATAGCAACCTTAAGTACAACAGAACGAAACACTGCCCAGTCTTGTGCCAGCCTCATGATCTTGCTATACCTGAGCCCATCGTTGCAGCCACTGTGTCAATACATCTCATTGAGGGCCTTGCCCTTTTTTGCTGACCCTCCAATTTACCAAGCATGATATCCTTCTCCAGAGAATAGTCCCTTCTGACAACATAACCACAGTAGGTGAGATGAAATCTGGCCATTCTTGCTTCCAAGGAGCATTCAGGCTGTACTTCTTCCAGGATAGATTTGTTAGTTCTTTCAGCAGTCCATGGCACCTTCAACATTCTTTGCCAGCACCACAACTCAAAAACATCAACTCTTCTTTGGTCTTCCTTATTCATTGTCCAGCTCTCACATGCATATGAGGCAAATGAAAATACCATGGCTTGGGTTAGGTGCACCTTAGTCTTTAAGAAGACGTCAAGCTCTTCAGCACTTGAGAGAGATCTTTTGCAGCAGATACACTCAATGCAATACATCGTCCGATGTCTTGACTGCTGCTTCCATGGCTGTTGATTGTAGAACCAAGGAATATGAAGTCTTTGACAACTTCAACCTTTTCTCCATTTATCATGATGCTTATTATCAGTCCAGTTGTGAGAATTTTTGTGTTTTTCTTATAGTGAGGTGTAATCCATACTTCAGACTGTAGCCTTCAATCTTCATCAGTAAGTGCTTCAAGTCATCCTCACTTTCAGCAAGCAAAGCTGTGTCATCTGCCTATCACAGGTTGTTAATGAGTCCTCCTCCAATCCTGATGCCAATTCTTCTTCCTACAGTTCAGCTTCTCAGATTATTTGCTCAACATACAGACTGAATAAGTATGGTGAAAAGATACAACCCTGATGCACTCCCCTCCTGATTTTAACCCATGCAGTATCCCCTTGTTCTGCTGAATGAAAGCCTCCTGGTCTATGTACAGCTTCCTCATGAGTACAATCAAGTGTTCTAGAATTCCCATTCTTCTCAATGTTACCCATAATTTGTTATGATCCACACAACTCAATACTTTTGTATAGTCAGTAAAACACAAGTAAATATCTTTCTGGCATTCTTTGCCTTGAGCCAAGATCCATCTGACAAAAGCTATGATATCCCTTGCTCCATGTCCTCTTCTGAATCCAGCTTCCATTTCTGGAAGTTCTCTGTCAACATACTGCTGCAACCATTTTTGAAATATCTTCAGTAAGATTTTACTTGTGCATGGTATTAATGATACTGTTTGATAATTTCCACATTCTGTGGGATCACCTTTCTTTGGAATGGGTACAAATATGGATCTCTTCCAGACAATTGGCCAGGTAGCTATCTTCCAAATTTCTTGGCATAGCCTAGTGAGTGCCTCCAGTGCAGTATGTTTGTTGAAACATCTCATTGAGTATTCTGTCAATTCCTGGAGCCTTGTTTTTTACCACTTCCTTCAGTGCAGCTTCAACTTCTTCCTTCAATATAACTGGTTCTTGATCATATGCCACCTCCTGAAATGGATGAACATTGACCAATTATTTTTGGTGCAGTGACTGTGTATTCCTTCCATCTTCTTTTGATGTTTCCTGAATCATTCACTGCATTACCCATAGAATCTTTCAGTATTGCAACTCGAGGCTTAAATTTCCTCTTCAGTTCTTTCAGCTTGAGAAATGCTGAGCGTGTTCTTCCCTTTTGATTTCCTAACTACAGTTCTTTGCACATTTCATTATAATAATTGACTTTGTTTTCTCAAGTTGCTCTTTGAAATCTTCTGTTAAGCTCTTTTATCTTGTCATTTCTTCCATTTGCTTTAGCTACTCTCCATCAAGGGCAAGTTTCAGAGTCTCTGGTGACATCCATTTTGGTCTTTTCTTCCTTTCTTGTCTTTTTAATGACTTCTTGCTTTCTTCATGGATGATGTTCTTGATGTCATCCCACAATTCCTCAGGATTTTGGTCAGTCGTGTTCAGTGTGGCAAATTTATTCTTCAGATGGTCTCTAAATTCAGGTGGGATATAATCAAAGTCATTATTTTGGCTCTTGTGGACTCCTTTTTAATTGTCTTCAGCTTCAAATTCAACTTTCATATTAGCAGTTGATGGTCTGTTCCACAATCAGTTCCTGGCCTTATTTTGGCTGATTGAAACTCTCCATCACGTCTTGCTACAGACATAATCAATCTGATTCCTGGGTACTCTGTCTGGTGAAGCTCATGTGTAGAGCTGCCATTTGTGTTGTTGAAAAAGGAATTTGTAATGAGTAAGTTGTTAGTCTTGCAAAATTCTATCATGCATTCTCCAGTGTTATTTCTATCACCAAGGCCATATTTTCCAACTACTGGTGATTCTTCTTTGTTTCCAACTTTTGCATTCCAGTTACCAGTGATAATCAACACATCCTGATTGCATGTTTGTTCAATTTCAGACTGCAGAAGTTGGTAAAAATCTTCAATTTCCTCATCTTTGGCTTTGGTGGTTGATGTGTAAATTTGAATATAGGATTGGCAGACAATGTTTCTACAAGTATATTTGTATG